CACACACACACACACACACACACACACACACACACACACACACACACACACACACACACACACACACACACACACACACACACACACGTGTGTGTTAAAGGAAAGTTGGGTGCTAGAGCCTTTTAGACTTTTGAAGGAGCACAGGTGCATGCTATCCTGTGTATAGTCATTTATTAGATTGGCACTGGAACAGATCAGGAAATCATTTCATGTAGTTACTACTGAATTCCATTTTATAGGTAGGCTATATTAACAATTAGCACTGCATAACTGTTTATGAGTCAACCGGACTCTTGCTGTCATATCTAAAGCTTTCATAGGTTTCTCAATTTATTTATATACTTTTTTGATACTTTTTGCTCAGTTTTTGTTTATAAAAGATTTAACTTCACTTTGTCTTTATGCCCACCAGGTGGTGCTGACCATATCACAGCTGATGTGGTGCAGGGACATGGATGCGTGCCTGGAGGGAGACCATGACCATTTTGCTGCCTTGCAGAAATTTGAAGGCACCAACTTTGAAGTAAATCACAGTACAGATTCTTTTACTGCTTCTTTAATTCTGTGGTTACATTTTAACCTCATCAAACAAACCTGGACTTTTTTTGCTCTTTAATTTCAACGTTATAACCCAAGGATGCTTGCTTGATTATGTTTCTGTGCACTCCAGAGACTGAATGCCCTAGCAGCATTGGTACGAGGACAGCTCCCTGCTTTACATCGTAATATCATCACAGCCCTCATCACCATTGATGTTCACGCTAGAGACATAGTCAGTGATCTAGTTCGACAAAAGGTACAACAGTGTAGTGTTAGCGGGACACTGACTATAGTTACCTGATTTTTCCTGCGATCAGTGTTATAAAAACAAAAACAAGTTAGTAACAAGTCACCACCTTCAATTGACTTTCTTCAGGTTGACAACAGGTCCAGCTTTGAATGGCAGAGACAGCTGCGCTACTACTGGGACATGGACCTTAATAACTGTGTAGCCACAATGGCACTGTCCACTTACATTTATGGCTATGAATATCTGGGAGCTTGTCCTAGGCTGGTCATCACACCACTCACGGTAATGGAGAATATAAAACTACATTCACACAAATGTAGAGTTCCAGTTGTAAGTATATTTAGACTGTTCTTCAATTTTGTGTGATACTTAAATAAAAAATGTCTAAGAATTCAATTTTAATTTAATTTAGCGCCAATTCACAACAACAGTCACCTCAATGTGTTGTAAGGTAAAAGTAAGACCCTATGATTTTAGAAAGGAAACAATCAGATGACCCCTGTTAGCAAGCGTGTGGTGACAGTGGGAGGAAAAAGCTCCCTTTTAGCAGGAAGAAAACTCCAGTAGATCCAGGTCCAGCGAGGGGCAGCCATCTGCCATGATTAGTGGGGGGTGAGGAGAAGGAGAAAGCAGCGGAGAGGGACAGGACAGAAGACACTGTGGGAGAAGGAGGCAGAGTTTAATGATTAAATGCAGGAGTGCTGTAAAAACACAACGGAATACATACAGTCAAACGGACCACAAAACAAAATACTAGCAAAACCCCCATATGCTACTGGCAATAACTTATCATTAGAATCAAAATACAGATTATATATCCTAAACTGTTTAGATAAATGTAAAAATTAGTTAGAAAAACTTACACTTGGCATATTTTTGTAAACACTGTTTTATTTCATTTAGACTTCTTTAAGTGTTAGTTGTTTTATCTGTCATCTTTTTAAATTCTATAGAAACATGGATCCTTTTCTTCATTTTTGTGTTTCTCTGTCTGCCTTGGGACGCAGGACCGTTGCTACCTTTGTCTTATGGGAGCTCTCCAACTGGACTTGGGAGGTGCTCCTGCAGGGCCGGCAGGGACGGGCAAAACAGAGACCACAAAGGACTTGGCAAAGGCGCTGGCCATCCAGTGTGTGGTCTTTAATTGTTCAGATGGACTGGACTATAAGGTCAGCTACAAGGAATTTTATGAACCTAGATCCCTTTTTTGTCATTGCTAGACTACACCTGAAATAGATTACAGCTGGACAGGTGCTTGGAATCACTGTGACCAGCATAAAAGGCCGTTTCTGGTATTTTATAAGCCTGTTTATGAACTGCAAATAACTTTGAACAATGCTTTATGTCATCCATTAAAGTAAAATTACTGATGTCCTATTTACAAACACAAAAGATGTACAAAATCCTCTTCGAATAATTACACTTAACAGTGGAATTGAGTATTTGCCACTATTTGGAAGATAAGAGTAGTAACTACTTTTCAAGTCTTGATATTCCACACATAATATCTGTTTTTAATGAATCACAATATTCTTATACAGATGATGGGTCGGTTCTTCAGTGGGCTGGCACAGTCAGGAGCTTGGTGTTGTTTTGACGAATTTAACAGAATCGACATTGAAGTGTTGTCTGTCATCGCTCAGCAGCTCATAACCATAAGAAATGCCAAAGCTGCTAAGGTATACAAACACATGCACACAGTTTTGCAAGAAAAAAATCTGCTGTCATGTCCTAGAGTCACCTCACATAAAGTTAAATATTTCAAGTCTAATTTGTTGTTTTGATATTTCTGGTTTTTGGTTTACAAAATACAAATTAGTAAAAGTTTAATTTAATTTCAAGTTTGTTATAAGTTACTCAAATTTGAATTGCCACCAGGTTGAAGACACCGAGTGTATGATCACGTCCATTTTTACCACCATTTCCTCCACTGATTTCGGGTGTTGGTGATAGTTGGTCCACTGTGTTTTATAAAGGCCAAAGTCAGATTTTAGAGTATTTCACCAACTGCTGACAAGCGGTATGGAGGTGCCAATTTCCTTTTCCAGTAGAAATAATTACCTGCCATTATTAATTGCAGTGCCAAACTTGCTAGCATATGGATTGCTGGCCATATTATAACTCTCCTTGAATAGCCATGGGTATTACAGTAGATGGGGTGTTGTCAAGAGGAAGATACAAAAGACTGCACTCACACTTTTTTTTAACCCTTATTTAACCAGGAAGTGGACATCTTAAAGAAATACAGAAATACATTTCTGTATTGTAAAGCCTTATTTGATTACGCTTAAGAAAAATGGATGGATGGATATTTCACTTTATCCATAGTGAGTATATAGTTTAAGATAATAAAGTTGACCTTTTACTAACAAGAGTGTCTCTTTTATCTTTGTTATGTAGCTGTCAAGGTTTCTATTTGAGGGCCGGGAGATCAAGCTGGTGATGACATGTGCTGCATTCATCACTATGAACCCAGGCTATGCTGGAAGAACAGAATTACCCGACAACCTTAAAGCTCTTTTTAGACCAATAGCAATGATGGTTCCAAACTATGCTCTTATTGCAGAGGTAACTTCCAGTTTGTGTGTTTATGTGTCTTATTCTAAATTCTCTGATATTTCTCCACAGAATAAGCTATCATTTTCCCTCTTTTATTGACTTAAGCTCAGCTGCATTTGTTTCTCTGTTCTCCCTCCAGGTGATTTTGTACTCAGAAGGATTTGAGTCTAGTAAAACCCTTGCAAGGAAGATGACCCAGATGTACAAGCTGTGCTCAGAGCAACTGTCCCAGCAGGACCACTATGACTTTGGGATGAGAGCTGTCAAATCTGTCCTGGTCATGGCAGGGTCAGAGCATTACACGGACACATATGCATTGAATAATCAGGGCAGACAAGCATCTTCTCTGAAATGTCTTTCTGTGACTGCTGTGATTTTAAATAGTCTCACACACATACACATGGATATGTTTAGCATTTACCATTTTGTGTATTCTGAAGCTACATGTACATTATGTTTACTGTGACATGTTTCACATGTTAAGTAGATAATTTGCTTTTCAAGACAAAGTGCTGCTGTCCACAATAAGAGCAGTGAAACTGGTGATACTGGGGATTACTCAGATTAGAGGCTAAGAGCTTAGAATCAGAATCAGACTTTATTTATCCCCAAGGGGCAATTAAGAGCTCCCAGCACTTCCTGATTTAAGCTCTAGTTCCTCTCTGAAAAAATTAATTTACATTTATTTTATTTATTTGATGCTTGTCATAACAAAGTGTTTGAAACACATGAAGAGATGAAGAAATGACACATTTTGTAATTACAACTATTTAAATGAACTACTTTAGAAGAGATGCTCACACTGGTTCTTTAACCATGCGGGTTTCCTTTTATATTTTATCAATTTTTTGTGAATATGACCAATATGAAGACAAAAGACAGATTTTAGGATGCCCATTACTAACACAGAACTATTTTCATTGTATAGCAATTATTTGAAAACCTGGAGTGACTCTGCAATATTAAATATAAAAAAATGTTTAGGTCACAAAGAAATCCATGTCATTTTTAATGTTTGCTCGTAGGTCACTGAAGAGAGAGAACCCTCACCTTAGTGAGGATGTGGTTCTAATTAGAGCACTGAGAGACTCCAACCTGCCAAAGTTCCTCACTGATGATGCCGTGCTGTTTGGGTAAGTCTATCTGACATTGTAAGGGACTGTTTCTTGCTCTGCAGCATAGGGATTTATACATTTGGCTGCGAAAGATCCTTATTACAACCCTGGGCGCAGACACAAATCCTTTTAGGGTTGTGTCCTCTGCCAAATTAAACATGTGGAGCTACCCACCGTGGTGAATAAGGGAGCAATAAGGGAAGTAGCTTTGTTATTTCTTGTTAAACTGCACAATAACAGTAAGAACATTAAGTTCTAAAAGTAAGACTTTGTATGATGCCTCTTCTTTCTTTTTATATATATATATCTGTATGTTTATGTTCATGGCAATCTTCCATTCCTTTCCAGTGGTATCCTGTCAGACCTGTTTCCTGGTGTTTGTATCCCTGAACATGACTATGGTGTGCTACACTCAACCATTGTGGAGTCTCTGGTTAAGAGAAACCTTCAACCGTTGGATAGCATGACTAAGAAGGTAGAGTACAAGTGGAAAATATTCCAAGACAGACACTTCAACTCAGTTAATTCCAGCTGCAGACGTAAATCTTTTTAAAAGATCAGAAATATTTTGAGTATTTAAAAAGCCTGTTCCTCTTATCTTCCTATTAGGTGATCCAGCTTTATGAGACCATGTTAGTTCGCCATGGAGTTATGTTGGTTGGACCAAGTGGTGGAGGTAAGACCACTGTCTACACCATCCTGGCAGACACTCTGGAGACCCTCCATCTCAAAGGACACCAGGCTGTCAACCCCTTCTATCAGCCTGTCAAGACCTATGTGCTCAATCCAAAATCTGTCTCAATGGGAGAGCTCTATGGAGAGGTACAGCACACAGGAGACTAAATCTGGCATCAGCAGTATTTCCTTTTCTCTCACTGCAGTTATTTATTTAACTTTTGTGTTGTGTCATCCTCTCAGATTAATCCTTTGACACTGGAGTGGCGTGATGGACTGATGGCACTGAGTGTCCGTGACGCAGTCAGTGACACTAGTGATGACCACAAGTGGGTTGTCTGTGATGGACCAGTTGATGCCCTTTGGATCGAGAACATGAACACTGTATTGGATGACAACAAGATGCTCTGTTTAGCCAACAGCGAGCGAATCAAACTTACTCCATCCATACACATATTGTTTGAGGTTAGAGCCAAACAGAGTGAAAGTGGAACTGGATCATTTTGTTGACAGTAAATTGGATTATAAATTAATTTGCAGGGTCTTAAACATGAGAATAAACATTTAATGCTTTACTAAGAATATGAAGCTGGTTTATAATGGACTCTCTTATAATAGGAGCTTGTAAATCTTAAGTCGTCTTCATAATGTGTATTTGCAGGTTCAGGACTTGGCTGTGGCATCTCCAGCCACAGTAAGTCGCTGTGGAATGGTTTATGTTGATCCTGATGAGCTCAAGTGGATGCCCTACGTGCACACATGGATTACTGGTCTAGGGGACAGGGTATGTGCATGTTATATCTCCAAATTCTAGATTTCTCTTATATTATACAGATAGGATCTTAAGTATTTTGACAGCTGCTCCTTTGCTTTTCCATGGGACTGCACAGCCTCTTTTATGGGATTTTTGGACAAAATCCATCCTGTTCTTCCTGTCCTTCAGTGTAACCAGGTGTTGCACCTTGTTGTAAACCCTCTGGACTTATACTGATATGAAGATATCTCTTGATTGCTGACTACTGCATTCATATAGCCATTATAACTAGTAACAGATGCAACATATTGTATATAAAGTTAGATCACCTAAAACTAATTCCCCGTGGAGAAATGCATTTAAATTTAAATGTATTTTTATTTTTATCCCTATAGGTTAATTTTTACATTGTAGTCAAATTGTTGTTTTTTTGCAGTGCATAGTTCTTCCCTCTTGATGTCAGTCCTACCTCTGGGCATCAAGACGACTATTACTAGGGAGTCTAAGCCAAACTAGCAAGGTTACTTTATAAATTGTGTAGATAATGTAAATGCATGACTCTGCATACACTTAATATCCTGCTACAAGCTTCTCTGTAAACCTCATTTAACTTTCTCCTGTCTCTCCAGCTTCCAGACTCAGTGGGTGCATACCTGATGGAGATGTTCAAGCAGTACGTGGAGAAAGGTCTACAATTTGTGTCCAAGCATTGTGTCCAAGCAATTCGCCAAGTGGACATCAGTAAAGTCAGCACTCTGTGCTCCTTGCTGGAGGCTCTTCTGCTGGGTAACGGAGGACCAGACCTCAAGATGGTACATTTAACACAAAATGTAGCTGTCATGTTTAGTCCTTTTTTTGTAGGATGCATCAAAAGAATCAGTCATTTAGTTCAAACAACAATTTTGCAAACTTGACAATGAAATAAAAAAAGTTAATTTTTTTCCACAAAGGAAAAGCAAAAAATGTACAGGGAGCAACTTTGGTTAAACCAGCAATGCGTTAAAGATGAGAGTGTGCTACTTCTGTTCGACAAGACAAAGCCATAAGTTATATACATGCTTCTTGTAGAATTATTGACTTACTCACCCATGTTCTTACTTATTGATATGTCTTCTTTTTGTGGTGGCAGAATCCCAAGCACCTTGATGGTGTACTATGTCAGACCTTCATATTTTGTTATCTATGGGCCGTAGGTGGCAATCTGACTAGTTCTTACTGGGATGCTTTTGATGCCTTCATCAGAGAGCAATTTGAAGGCAACAAAGATGCAAAGGTATGCACCTGTGACCACAACACCTACAGAAATGCATGAGCCGTGAGGATAATGCAATCTGAATTATTTATTTATTATAGAACAAAACTGGGCAGTTTATTCAAATCGGTCAAAATTCATACACTTGTATTCAATGTATATAAAGTGGAATAATTTAAGCTGTTCACAGAGTGCCGTATCAAGCTATGTTAATGGAGCATTGACTGGAAGGAAAAGTGTATTAAGAATTCCAGATGTGAAACCGTAATTTGAACTTAACACACATAGGCACTCACATCCACACAAAGAATTGTACAAAGCAACACTTCACCAAAACTGCTGTTACCAAAGCTATTAAACAATGTGAGTGAAACTGAACATTAATGATTTAATGTTCTTTCTAGCTAATGGCATTTGGGCTGATACTTAATAAGACACCTAATAATTTTGTAGTAAGTTTTTTACATTTGTGTGTTTTGTAGCTCCCGACGTGTGGTACCTTGTGGAGTGTCTACATGAATTTTAATCACAGGGATCTGCAGTTATGGACAGCTATAATCCCTTCATTTAAATATAATAGGGAACAACCTTTTTTTGAGATTCCAGTTTTGCTCAGGTGTAAATTACAAAATACCATAACAAGCAACAAGAGCTGTAATCAAATCCTCAACCTGAACTGATTCTGTGATTCTGTGCTTGAAGGTGGGTTTAGCTAAAGGTCTGAAAGCACAGGGAAATGTGGAAGACTGGCTTTGCAAAGTGGAGGAGGCTATGTTCTCCTCACTGCGACAGCTCAGCAAGGCTGCCTTTGTAGACTACCAGAAGAAGTCTAGAGAGGAATGGGTGGTGGCTGGACACCCGTCACAGGTACACAACACAACACACACACACACACACACACACACACACACACACAACCACCACACACACACACACACACACACACACGTGTGTGTTAAAGGAAAGTTGGGTGCTAGAGCCTTTCAGACTTTCTGAGGAGCACAGGTGCATGCTATCCTGTGTATAGTCATTTGTTAGATTGGCACTGGAACAGATCAGGAAATCATTTCATGTAGTTACTACTAAATTTCATTTTATAGGTATATTAACAATTAGCACTGCATAAGTGTTTATGAGTCAACCAGACTCTTGCTGTCATATCTAAAGCTTTCATAGGTTATTCCATTTATTTATATACTTTTTTTGATGCTTTTTGCTCAGTTTTTGTTTATAAAAGATTTAACTTCACTTCGTCTTTATGCCCACCAGGTGGTGCTGACCATATCACAGCTGATGTGGTGCAGGGACATGGAAGAGTGCCTGGGGGGAGACCATGACCATTTTGCTGCCTTGCAGAAATTTGAAGGCACCAACTTTGAAGTAAATCACAGATTCTTTTACTGCTTCTTTAATTCTGTGGTTACATTTTAACCTCATCAAACAAACCTGGACCTTGTTTGCTCTTTAATTTCAACGTTATAACCCAAGGATACTTGCTTGATTATGTTTCTGTGCACTCCAGAGACTGAATGCCCTAACAGCATTAGTACGAGGACAGCTCCCTGATTTACATCGTAATATCATCACCTCCCTCATCACCATTGATGTTCACGCTAGAGACATAGTCACTGATCTAGTTCGAAAAAAGGTACAACAGTGTAGTGTTAGCAGGACACGGACTATAGTTACCTGATTTTTCCTGTGATCAGTGTTATAAAAAACAAAAACAAGTTAGTAACAAGTCACCACCTTCAACTGACTTAAGGTTTTCTTCAGGTTGACAACAGGTCCAGCTTTGAATGGCAGAGACAGCTGCGCTACTGCTGGGACATGGACCTTAACAACTGTGTAGCCACAATGGCACTGTCCACTTACATTTATGGCTATGAATATCTCGGAGCCTGTCCTAGGCTGGTTATCACACCACTCACGGTAATGGAGAATGTAAAACTACATTCACACAAATGTAGAGTTCCAGTTGTAAGTATATTTAGATTTTGTGTGATACTTCGCTTAAATAAAAAATGTCTGAGAATTCAATTTTAATTTTATTTAGCGCCAATTCACAACAACAGTCACCTCAATGTGTTGTGAGGTAAAAGTAAGACCCTATGATTTTAGAAAGGAAACAATCAGATGACCCCTGTTAGCAAGTGTAGGGTTAGGGGTTAGTGACAGTGGGAGGAAAAAGCTCCCTTTTAGCAGGAAGAAAACCCCAGTAGAACCAGGCCCAGTGAGGGGCAGCCATCTGCCATGATTAGTTGGGGGTGAGGAGAAGGAGAAAGCAGCGGAGAGGGACAGGACAGAAGACACTGTGGGAGAAGGAGGCAGAGTTTAATGATTAAATGCAGGAGTGGTGTAAAAACACAACGGAATACATACAGTCAAACAGACCACAAAACAAAATACTAGCAAAACTATCATATGCTACTAGCAATAACTTATCATTAGAATCAAAATAGAGATTATTTATCCAAAACTGTTTAGATAAATGTTATAATTAGTTAGAAAAACTTACACTTGGCATATTTTTGTAAACACTGTTTTATTTCATTTAGACTTCTCTAATTGTTAGTTGTTTTTATCTGTCATCTTTTTAAATTCTATAGAAACATGGATCCTTTTCTTCATTTTTGTGTTTCTCTGTCTGCCTTGGGACGCAGGACCGTTGCTACCTTTGTCTTATGGGAGCTCTCCAAATGGACTTGGGAGGTGCTCCTGCAGGGCCGGCAGGGACGGGCAAAACAGAGACCACAAAGGACTTGGCAAAGGCGCTGGCCATCCAGTGTGTGGTCTTTAATTGTTCAGATGGACTGGACTATAAGGTCAGCTACAAGGAATTTTATGAATCTAGATCCCTTTTTTGTCATTGCTAGACTACACCTGAAATAGATTACAGCTGGACAGGTGCTTGGAATCACTGTGACCAGCATAAAGGGCCGTTTCTGGTATTTTATAAGCCTGTTTATGAACTGCAAATAACTTTGAACAATGCTTTATGTCATCCATTAAAGTAAAATTACTGATGTCCTATTTACAAACACAAAAGATGTACAAAATCATCTTTGAATAATTACACTTAACAGTGGAATTCCGGGTATTGAGTATTTGCCACTATTTGGAAGATAAGATTAGGTACTACTTTTCAAGTCTTGATATTCCACACATAACATCTGTTTTTAATGAATCACAATATTCTTATACAGATGATGGGTCGGTTCTTCAGTGGGCTGGCACAGTCAGGAGCTTGGTGTTGTTTTGACGAATTTAACCGAATCGACATTGAAGTGTTGTCTGTCATCGCTCAGCAGCTCATAACCATAAGAAATGCCAAAGCTGCTAAGGTATACAAACACATGCACACAGTTTTGATAGAAAAAAATCGGCTGTCATGTCCTAGAGTCACCTCATAAATTTAAATATTTCAAGTCTTATTTGTTGTTTTGATATTTCTGGCTTTGGGTTTACAAAATACAAATTAGTAAAAGTTTAATTTAATTTCAAGTTTGTTATAAGTTACTCAAATTTGAATTGCCACCAGGTTGAAGACACCGAGTGTATGATCACGTCCATTTTTACCACCATTTCCTCCACTGATTTCGGGCGTTGGTGATAGTTGGTCCACTGTGTTTTATCAAGGCCAAAGTCAGATTTTAGAGTATTTCACCAACTGCTGAGAAGCTGTATGGAGGTGCCAATTTCCTTTTCCAGTAGAAATAATTACCTGCCATTATTAATTGCAGTGCCAAACTTACTACCAGATGGCTTGCTGGCCATATTATAACTCTCCTTGAATAGCCATGGGTATTGCAGTAGATGGGGTGTTGTCAAGAGGAAGATAAGAAAGACTGCACTCAAACTTTTTTTAACCCTTATTTAACCAGGAAGTGGACATCTTAAAGAAATACAGAAATACATTTCTGTATTGTAAAGCCTTATTTGATTACACTTAAGAAAAATTAAAGCCAAAAAGGCTTGAAATATTCCACTTTATCCATAATGAGTATATAGTGTAGATAATGTTGGGCTTTTACTAACAAGAGTGTCTCTTTTATCTTTGTTATGTAGCTGTCAAGGTTTCAATTTAAGGGCCGGGAGATCAAGCTGGTGATGACATGTGCTGCATTCATCACTATGAACCCAGGCTATGCTGGAAGAACAGAATTACCCGACAACCTTAAAGCTCTCTTTAGACCAATAGCAATGATGGTTCCAAACTATGCTCTTATTGCAGAGGTAACTTCCAGTTTGTGTTTATGTGTCTTATTCTAAATTCTCTGAAATTTCTCCACAAAATAAGCTATCATTTTCCCTCTTTTATTGACTTAAGCTCAGCTGCATTTGTATTGCTATAACTGTTCCTCTGTTCTCCATCCAGGTGATTTTGTACTCAGAAGGATTTGAGTCTAGTAAAACGCTTGCAAGGAAGATGACCCAGATGTACAAGCTGTGCTCAGAGCAACTGTCCCAGCAGGACCACTATGACTTTGGGATGAGAGCTGTCAAATCTGTCCTGGTCATGGCAGGGTCAGAGCATTACACGGACACATGTGCATTGAATAATCAGGGCAGACAACCATCTTCTCTGAAATGTCTTTCTGTGATTGCTGTGATTTTAAATAGTCTCACACACATATACATGGATATGTTTAGCTTTTGTGTATTCCAAAGCTACATGTACATTATGTTTACTGTGACATGTTTCACATTTTAAGTAGATAATTTGCTTTTCAAGACAAAGTGCTGCTGTCCACAATAAGAGCAGTGAAACTGGTGATACTGGCGATTACTCAGATTAGAGGCTAAGAGCTTAGAATCAGAATCAGACTTTATTTATCCCCAAGGGGCAATTAAGAGCTCCCAGCACTTCCTGATTTAAGCTCTAGTTCCTCTCTGAAAAAATTAATTTACATTTATTTTATTTATTTGATGCTTGTCATAACAAAGTGTTTGAAACACATGAAGAGATGAAGAAATGACACATTTTGTAATTACAACTATTTAAATGAACTACTTTAGAAGAGATGCTCACACTGGTTCTTTAACCATTTTTTTATTTATTTATATTTTATCAATTTTTTTGTGAATATGACCAATATACAGACAAAAGACAGATTTTAGGATGCCCATTAATAACACAGAACTATTTTCATTGTATAGCAATTATTTGCAAACCTGGAGTGACTCTGCAATATTAATATAAAAAAATGTTTAGGTCACAAAGAAATCCATCTAATTTTTAATGTTTGCTCGTAGATCACTGAAGAGAGAGAACCCTCACCTTAGTGAGGATGTGGTTGTAATTAGAGCATTGAGAGACTCCAACCTGCCAAAGTTCCTCACTGATGATGCCATGCTGTTTGGGTAAGTCTATCTGACATTGTAAGGGACTTTTTCTTGCTCTGCAGCATAGGGATTTATACATTTGGCTGCGAAAGATCCTTATTACAACCCTGGGCGCAGACACAAATCCTTTTAGGGTTGTGTCCTCTGCCAAATTAAACATGTGAAGCTACCCACCGTGGTGAATAAGGGAGCAATAAGGGAAGTAGCTTTGTTATTTCTTGTTAAACTGCACAATAACAGTAAGAACATTAAGTTCTAAAAGTAAGACTTTGTATGATGCCTCTTCTTTCTTTTTATATATATATATCTGTATGTTTATGTTCATGGCAATCTTCCATTCCTTTCCAGTGGTATCCTGTCAGACCTGTTTCCTGGTGTTTGTATCCCTGAACATGACTATGGTGTGCTACACTCAACTATTGTGGAGTCTCTGGTTAAGCGAGGTCTTCAACCGTTGGATAGCATGACTAAGAAGGTAGAGTACAAGTGGAAAATATTCCAAGACAGACACTTAAGCTCAGTTAATTCCAGCTGCAGATGTAAATCTTTTTAAAAGATCACAAATATTTTGAGTATTTAAAAAGCCTGTTCCTCTTATCTTCCTATTAGGTGATCCAGCTTTATGAGACCATGTTAGTTCGCCATGGAGTTATGTTGGTTGGACCAAGTGGTGGAGGTAAGACCACTGTCTACACCCTCCTGGCAGACACTCTGGAGACCCTCCATCTCAAAGGGCACCAGGCTGTCAACCCCTTCTATCAGCCTGTCAAGACCTATGTGCTCAATCCAAAATCTGTCTCAATGGGAGAGCTCTATGGAGAGGTACAGCACACAGGAGACTAAATCTGGCATCAGCAGTATTTCCTTTTCTCTCACTGCAGTTATTTATTTAACTTTTGTGTTGTGTCATCCTCTCAGATTAATCCTTTGACACTGGAGTGGCGTGATGGACTGATGGCACTGAGTGTCCGTGACGCAGTCAGTGACACTAGTGATGACCACAAGTGGGTTGTCTGTGATGGACCAGTTGATGCCCTTTGGATCGAGAACATGAACACTGTATTGGATGACAACAAGATGCTCTGTTTAGCCAACAGCGAGCGAATCAAACTTACTCCATCCATACACATATTGTTTGAGGTTAGAGCCAAACAGAGTGAAAGTGGAACTGGATCACTTTTGTTGACAGTAAATTGGATTATAAATTAATTTGCAGGGTCTTAAACATGAGAATAAACATTTAATGCTTTACTAAGAATATGAAGCTGGTTTATAATGGACTCTCTTATAATAGGAGCTTGTAAATCTTAAGTCGTCTTCATAATGTGTATTTGCAGGTTCAGGACTTGGCTGTGGCATCTCCAGCCACAGTAAGTCGCTGTGGAATGGTTTATGTTGATCCTGATGAGCTCAAGTGGATGCCCTACGTGCACACATGGATTACTGGTCTAGGGGACAGGGTATGTGCATGTTATATCTCCAAATTCTAGATTTCTCTTATATTATATAGATAGGATCATAAGTATTTTGACAGCTGCTCCTTTGCTTCTCCATGGAACTGCGCAGCCTCCTTTATGGGATTTTTGGACAAAATCCATCCTGTTCTTCAGTGTAATCAGGTGTTGCACCTTGTTGTAAACTCTCTGGACTTATATTGATATGAAGATATCTCTTGATTGCTGACTACTGCATTCATATAGCCATTATAACTAGTTCAGATGCAACATATTGTATATAAAGTTAGATCACCTAAAACTAATTCCCTGTTAATTTTTACATTGTAGTCAAATTGTTGTTTTTTTGCAGTGCATAGTTCTTCCCTCTTGATCTCAGTCCTAGCTCTGGGCATCAAGAAGACTATTACTAGGGAGTCTAAGCCAAACTAGCAAGGTTACTTTATAAATTGTGTAGATAATGTAAATGCATGACTCTGCATACGCTTAATATCCTGCTACAATCTTCTCTGTAAACCTCATTTAACTTTCTCCTGTCTCTCCAGCTTCCAGACCCAGTGGGTGCATACCTGATGGAGATGTTCAAGCAGTACGTGGAGAAAGGTCTACAATTTGTGTCCAAGCAATGTGTCCAAGCAATTCGCCAAGTGGACATCAGTAAAGTCAGCACTCTGTGCTCCTTGCTGGAGGCTCTTCTGCTGGGTAACGGAGGGCCAGACCTCAAGATGGTACATTTAACACAAAATGTAGCTGTCATTTTAGTCCTTTTTTTTGTAGGATGCATCAAAAGAATCAGTCATTTAGTCCAAATAACAATTGCAAACTGACTTGACAATGAAATAAAAAAAAAAGTTGATTTTTTTCCACAAAGGAAAAGCAAAAAATGTACAGTCAGCAACTTTGGTTAAACCAGCAATGCGTAAAAGATGAGAGTGTGCTACTTCTGTTCGACAAGACAAAGCCATAAGTTATATACATGCTTCTTGTAGAATTATTGACTTACTCACCCATGTTCTTACTTATTGATATGTCTTCTTTTTGTGGTGGCAGAATCCCAAGCACCTTGATGGTGTACTATGTCAGACCTTCATATTTTGCTATCTATGGGCCGTAGGTGGCAATCTGACTAGTTCTTACTGGGATGCTTTTGATGCCTTCATCAGAGAGCAATTTGAAGGCAACAAAGATGCAAAGGTATGCACCTGTGACCACAACACCTACAGAAATGCATGAGCCGTAAGGATAATGCAATCTGAATTATTTATTTATTATAGAACAAAACTGGGCAGTTTATTCAAATCGGTCAAAATTCACACTTGTATTCAATGTATATAAAGTGGAGTAATTTAAGCTGTTTGCAGAGTGCCATATCAAACTATGTTAATGGAGCATTGACTGGAAGGAAAAGTGTATTAAGAATTCCAGATGTGAAACCGCAATTTGAACTTAACACACATAGGCACTCACATCCACACAGAATTGTACAAAGCAACACTTCACCAAATCTGCTGTTACCAAAGGTATTAAACAATGTGAGTGAAATTGAACATTAATGATTTAATGTTTTTTCTAGCTAATGGCATTTGGGCTGATACTTAATAAGACACCTAATAACTTTGTAGTAAAGTTTTTTACATTTGTGTGTTTTGTAGCTCCCGATGTGTGGTACCTTGTGGAGTGTCTACATGAATTTTGATCACAGGGAACTGCAGTTATGGACAGCTATAATTCCTTCATTTAAATATAATAGGGAACAACCTTTTTTTGAGATACTGGTTCCCACTACAGACACTGTTCGCTATGGATATCTGATGGAGAAACTGCTCTCTGTGCGCCGTTCTGTACTCTTCACTGGTGACACGGGAGTGGGAAAGGTAAAGAATCTTAGAACAGATAATAAACGGATGACAAAGGGTACATTTTATAAATCCGAAGCTTTTCTGATATTAAATGGTAAATGTAAATGGTCTGTATTTGTATAGCGCTTTACTTGGTCCTAAGGACCCCAAAGCGCTTTACACTATACACAATCATCCACCCATTCACACACACATTCACACACTGGTGATGGCAAGCTACAGTGTAGCCACAGCCGCCCTGGGGCGCACTGACAGAGGCGCCCCAGGGCATACTTGATGATGCAAAAAGAACAGCTGAATAAAAGCACATACGTCTAGGATACTTCAGACTCCTTTTTGCACTTCATTAACAAAGACCCACTGCATGTGTTGCAGATGCCTTGCTACAGCCGCACTTAGCTTTGGGCAGTACACTG